AGTTAGTGTACAGATAGATACACACTGAATAGAGTTCACCTGGATGGATACAGGGAATACAATTTCGTGGATTAATTGTAAAAGTTAGACATTAACACAATTGGATCCCGGCTGATTCAGTGGTCTAAAGGTTAAGCGTTCGAGCGTGAGACTGATAGGTCCTGGGTTCTGATCTCGCGAGGGGGGATCGTGGATGCACACTTCAGAGGAGTCCTATACTAAGATGAAACAGCCATCCAGTGCTTCCAGGTTTCTCACGGTTGTCTAGTTTCAGTTGACTCATGATCTCAACTATTAAAATACATTTGTCATATTGAATGAAAGTTCACACTTGTCATTCTTGAATTGATACAAAATAAGTAATGACTTTAAAGAGTTACATTGAACCAGTTCATACTGATTACCCAAATCAATACTCATAACATATTGATACAAAAAATGTTGACCTGATTATTCTTTTTATTCTGTTAAATAATATCTCTGATCTCTGAAAAAAATGGGTTCATTCAATGAAACATCCTTTCATTTTCTTGAAACATAATTACTGAACTGGCTATTTAAGAGAGTAACCTTCCCTTTTTGGTTGATTATATTTCTATAGCCATGTTGTATGATAGGGATGGAATCGAAACGATAAAATATACAAACAAGTAATTGATAGATCACTAGTATAGGGGTTGTGGAGATTATTAAGTTTTTAATTGAGATCATGAACCGATTGATGTTAGACCATCACAATTGAAAACTTAATAATCTCCACAACCCCTATACTAGTAATCAACATGTGCTCACTAGTGACTAGCTTCGTGAGGGAATTCTCGGAGTTCTAGTGAGAAGCCGTGACCAGTGGAGCTAATCCTTGTCAAGTAGAGACAGGTATCTACCTCAGTACAATGGTAGGTGGTCGCGCAATTTCGTGGATTGGTTGATGTTAGAAACTATCACCATTGGATGCCGGCTCAGTGGTCCAGTTGGTTTAGCGTTCGCGCGCGAGGCCGAAGGCCCTGGGTTCGAATCCCGAGAGCGAGGTCGTGGAGGCGCACTGCTGAGGAGTCCCACGATGGGACGAAACGGCCGTCCAGTGCTTCCAGGTTTTCAATTGTGATGGTCTAACATCAATCGGTTTATGGTCTCAATCAATAATTGATAGATCATTAACATAGATCAAATTTTTCATAGAATGTTGTAAACAAATCCTCTCTATATTAGTTGAATACTTTTTTTCACTTCTTATAATTTAGAGAGAGAGGTTTTGTGGATATTATAATAATTTAATAGTTGAATTCACAAGACTGATAAGTTCTGGATTCGAATCTCACGAGGCGAGATCGTGGATGCTCACTGTTGAGGAGTCCCATTCAGAATGAAACAGCAGTCCACTGCTTCTAGGTTTTCTATGGTGGTCTAGTTTTAATTCTTATAATTTACCATAATTTTCTACTATTTTGGGTATTTTGTGTAATATATTGATCCTACTCATAAGTAGTCACATTCCAAATGTAACATATGAACGTAAAAGTTTTTGTAATCGTAGATCGGTTTTGTGGATATTATAGCAATTTAGTAGTTGAATTCATGGATCATTTGAAGCTAGACGACCATGAAAAACCTGGATGGCCATTTCGTCCTAGTATAGATCTCCTTGGCAGTGTGCATCCACGATCCCGCCTCGCAGAATTCGAACCCAGGACCTATCAGTTAAGCGTTAGTGCGCGAGGTTTTTCATAGTGGTCTAGCTTCAATGAACTCATGAATTCAACTATTAAAATATAATTTTTGATTGTCAAATTGAATAGTGAGCAAAATGAATAATATAGCAACTAGTTTCATTTAGATCAATACCAGTTTATATTGATATTCAGATTCAATGAGTCGTTGTCATACACACGTATACGTATCGAGTATTGATTAGTTAGGAACAAATAACTGTTATTTTCTTCCTTATCATTGTGATTGTGTTTGTATGTCCACTATGCATAACTGACATGTCAGTTAATATGTTATAACATTGGATACATTATTCCTCTGACCCAAGTTACTAGTATATATATATGTTAGGCCATCTATCATCAGCTTAATCAGTTACTTACCTACAATGCAAGTTCATGATTGATCAGTATTGAGTATTTTTGAATCATTTTTAATATAAACATAAATTTTGGCAATTTGTAACAATTTCATCGGTCCTAATCGATGAGTTTTATTTACGCATTGGATAATACTAATAATAGCAACAACGTATTAACAAATAACTCATTCTGAGTAAAGGATGCCGGTTTAATGATCTAGCGGTTAAACGTCCGCGCGTGAGACTGGTAGATCTTGGGTTCGAATCTCGCGACCCGGGATCGTGGATGTGCACTGCTCAGTCGTACCATACGAGGATGAAGCGGCCATCCAGTGCTTCCAGGTTTTCCATGGTGGTCTAGCTTCAATGGACTCATGAACTCGACTATTAAATTACCATAATATCCACAAAAACCCTTATCTGATACAATTTTCTTTGAATTTCCATTAACCACATCACCTACTGAGATTTCATAAATACAGTGTGATTTTATTCATAAATGGTAATCAGTTGCCATAGTACAAGGTACATAACTTCACGTATTATCAAGTGAGTTATGCTGGTGGTTAGAGAACTAAACAAAAATGGAAAAAATGGTTTATCGAACTGAATGTTCATTGAGCGATGTGGCTAGGATATGTGTAACATATATCAAACCACTGTCTAATTCAAAGTGTAATATTGATTAAAGTAGAAGTTTGTTGGAAAAGAAAATTAGGTATGCCCAAATCATCATGTAACTTATATTCATGAAGTCATTGACTATCGATTTGAGCTATGTTTGTGAGTCTAGACTACGTGGCTAAGGTCTGATTTATAAGCATGATCAGTTGTTGGAAACGTTTGGTAATATGATTCAAGATCGATTAGAATGGCGTCGATTTACTCATTGCTTATATTACTTTTAATCTTCAGATCCAATATCAATTCAGATATACTTTTTTCTGTATTGTCTGAATCATTATCTCAATATTAAGTCTTTCACATTTTCATTAATGCTATAATTATTTAGAATTCCTTGTCATTTATCTTGTTAATTTTATCTCATTATGTTGATATTATATGGAAACTTGGACTGACGAACATTTGTGCCAGATTACACATGTTAACCGTAACCGACTGGATAATATAATTATTAGAAAGATTATGATTATTAACTAGTAGTTTTCCAGAGTTCTTCAAACGATAACAATTATTTACTATAAGTTAACTATTCATAATAGGAATATATGAAATTTCACATACTTACGCCTGTTACTCCTCGTGGAAGAACATAGGCCGCCCACTAGCACTCGCCATCCAACCCTGTCCTAGGTAATCTTTTCCAGTTCTTTCCAGTTGTTATTTATCCTATTTATTTATCATATCTGCTTCTATCTCCCAACGTAATGTGTTTTTTGGCCTTCCTCTTTTCCGCTTCCCTTCAGGATTCCAAGTTAGGGCTTGTCATGTGATGTAATTTGGTGATTTCCGTAATGTATGTCCTATCCATTTCCATCGTCTTTTCCTGATAATGGAATGGTTCTGATTAATCCTGAAATGTTGACGCATTTTAATCCGAGATCTGGAAGATAAAGAATGAATGCATCTGTCTCATAGTGACCAATTCTGAATAATATCATCAAATGTCTCTGACTAATAAACGTGATTCTTGCTCAGATACCAACCAGGTCATCTGTATCTACCAGATCAATACTCAGTAACTTTATGAACTTAAGCCACATTCTAGTTTAGCCACCTATAGTTTTCCCCTAACCTTATTCTATCCAGTCAGGATAACTCACAGATTCGTAAATCGATATGCCATCTGTATACAGTGTCTTGTGTCTAAACCTAAGGAATAATCATTTTGTTGTCTCACTATATTTGGACAATATTTCAGAGTCATAAAACCAATTACTTCCAGACTGTGGACATATACATGGGACTTCGCGGGTATAAGTAATACATCTCGTAGTCACCTTACTTGATAAGGATTTACAGCGTCACCAAATAACACAGTATTTTTTTTTAATCTAAAACGCTTCACTAGATACTTTCATAAGTGTAAAGTGCTTCAAGAATAATCGAGGTTTCATTCATAGTAAATGACATAAAGTGATTCATTTTCTTTCACCACAGTCACTCTGATCAATATACTTCCCTAATACATACACATATATAACTTCATGCACTCAGTCGTGTAAGGTTGTAATGGTGATACTACTTGAATGAATAAACCAAAGAAGTAATTGAGGGTTTTAATTCGTTATTATGTAATGAAAAGTCGAATACTTTAATCACGAATTTTATTTTATTTATTTAAACACATAAGCATTTGTACATGGAGGCGCCAAACAGATATGCACCACATAAATCATTTGATTCATGTGAGGGATGGAATACTACCCTGGTGCCAAAACCGAAGCAGGCGGTTTGCTTAGGGTGCCACACACCGAGCCTTTGACCTAAAGTTCTAATCCACAATGTAGTGGAGCAATGTTAGGAGATGCAGTACCATGGTAGCCGGTAACCAAGAATGGGTTTATACACCATTTGCTCCTTCAGGATCCTGGAGCCAGCTCATGTGCACCATTGATTTGGAATCAGGGTTTTCCAACTCTCCTAGGTAGACTCTCCATATCCACCAACCCGGTTAAAGCGACGGACATTCGCTTTTCGTGTTGTCAATTTCGTAATGTCACGAGAAGGCAGTGAATGTGAGTTTTGTGGCATTGGTTGTATTCACATGGACATGTGCGAGCATTTGGAGAGGGAGAGCAGACTCTATCCACTCTCTGCCGTACCAAGGCATTCGGGGGCCTAAAGGTGGCTACCGCCCTGGTTTGTCAATGAATATTTAGATTATTTCAGGTAGTTTTGTATGTTTGATGATACTGTACACGCTGAACATAGTTTTATGGCATTCCGACAATGTAATATGATCAGTGCAATTTTATGAAGTCATTTGTTAACGAGTTATTACAGATGATTACTTATTCATAAACGATTAACTTTGACTGTTTTCTACCATTAATAAGATGATTATTAAATTTAATTTGGGATGTGTATATATTCTTACAGATACCTGATGATGTCAATGTATTAGACAATGAATCTTATTCACCAGTTACCACTTCAATAATGACAATACCTTATAATTTAAATCTAAACTGGGTTTCACCAATTATCACTGCTTTGTCAATGTCAACAAGCCCATCTATTTTAAATTTAACCTCAGATTTATCACATTCAATATCATCTTCACAAATAGTAACATCATCATCATCATTATTAATGTCATGTTTCCCACAAATAGCAACAAAAGTAAGAGCTTCATCATGTTTTCCATTTGGACGTCGATCAGACAATGTATCATTATTATCCCCTACTTATCCACAGATAAATATAAATACTGATAATTTGATCAATCATGATCAAGATGATGAGAAACCGTTAGATTTAACTTTGAAATCATTTACAACAATAAAATCAGATGAATTAACTAAGAAAAAGTTGGATAATCAAAATTCTAAAATTCCTTGTAGACGGAAATCAAATAGGACACGTACACAAACAAAAGCAACATCATCCACAACTATGAAGGTAATAAACACTTCAGAAAAACTCAATCCAACAAATCAAGATACTCAGACAAATCGTCAAGTTGAAATAATTCAACAATCAGAAAGTATCACATCCTCATCTACAAATAATAATAATAATAATAATATAAATGGTGCAGAATTATGTCAGAATAATTGGATTACAGATATTCAAGATTCAATACAAATAAATGAATCTGATCAGAAACGTCCAAGATCAACATCTAGTCGTAGACCATTTAAAGCATTTGGTAATACAGTTCCATCAATTTCTACAGAACTTTTATTGAAATCTTCTAAACTTATTGATCCCTTATTATTAGTGAATACTATTGATAAATCTGAAACCGATGATGATCATTCCAAATCTATGGAACATAATAATACACCACCTCTTTCACCAACATCAGTAATTTCTACTCCTACAACAAATGGGAATAATTCTAAACGAAAATCAACGGTTAAAATAAAATCACGAAGATCTCAAAGTGCTTCAGCAATTGTGTTAATACCATTCAATCAAACTGAAAATACTAATGATAATAATAAAAATATAACAATTGACGAGACATTATCTACAACAAAATCTTTAGAAACTCTTTGTAAACTCGACAAACCTGTTGATTTACTCACAACAACAACAACAACAACAACAACAACGGCACAATCAATCAGATCTATTTCATCAACACCTAGTTGTTATTCCAGTTATTCTGAATTAATCGATGCCAATCATAATAATAATAATAATAATAATAATAACGATTCAACAAATATTAAACACACCGATTGTAATCCACGTATGAGACGTTTCCCAGAAATGACACCATCTGAAGTAAAAGATAAAGCATATTGGGAGAAAAGAGTTAAAAATAATGAAGCTGCTAGACGTTCACGTAGAGCAAGAAAAACTAAAGAATTAAGTTTAAAAAAATATGCTGATAATTTAGAAAAAGTAAATTTAAAATTAATTGAAGAAATTGAATTATTAAAAACAGAAATTTTACATTTAAAATCTAATAAAGAAATGAAAAAATCAAATAGTAACTAAATTTATTGTTTGTTATCTACAGTATGGGGTCACTAACACCACCCTACCCCACCCCATCCCACCCCACCTACCCGTCATGCCTAACCCTCTTTCTTTATCCAAGCTTGAGACTAGCAATAACTTCAGAAGGGCTTCCGGAGGAATTAAAACTCAAATGTATATACCTTAAATTCTTTTTGTTATTTTTTATTATCGAAATTCAATATATTTTTTGTTGTTGAACAGTTTCTTGATTAATCATTGAAAGATATTGAATATCTTTATGGAAAATAAAAGCTTTTAAAGTATATGTTATTATAATCTATGTCATTGATATATAATTGAAGGTGTTACTTTCAATAAGAAATTGTTAGTTACATAACAATGGAGTAAGGAGGCAAAGAAAACAGTTGATAATATATTATACACTGGATATCATACGATTAAACTGGTACAAGTAACAATTGTAATTAGTCTACCATTAGTCTTGAGTACTGATAGAGGTGTGAGAGCAGTTATCACTTCCTGGTTGCTCACACCGTGGAAGGGTTCTTATGGAGGTACCTGAAAAGGAAATTGGATTAGAGGTGATCTTAGTGACCTGAGAGCGTGACAGCACTGTCCAAGGAACAACTGTTTGAGGTCGGGCACACACGACCTTTTTGTGGGTAATTTTCGTGTTAGATCTGTACCACTGGAGACGGAAATCCGTGAGATGAGGCGAGGTGTGCAGTTTTAGGATAGACCTTTTCTAACCCAATCCCTCTATGTGGGAAGACAGCATCGCTGTTATGCTGGTTGTCTGAAGGAAACACCTTACTGCTGTCACACCTCTGTACAATCAGCAGTACGACTTCGCCCTCAGACCTTGGGTTAGCTGCTTTTAGTCTCACCGCTTTTCAACCAACATGTTCGGCATGAAAGAACCTTGAGGAACGATAGTTCCAGTCGGTATAGCTCGATTGGTTTATCATGGTAGGCAAGCCCGACTATCATGTCAAGGTAGCAACAGCGTTCGAGTTACATCATTAATTAATGAAAGAATAAATAGTTTCAAAAAAATTGATAGGCGTTGGTTTAAAATGTATATTATTTGAATGTAATTTTAACTATCGAGCTATCAGAACTCAGTAGTTAAGTAGATAACACGATGACGTTTGGAGCGAACGGTGCTGAGTTCGAGTCCCGGAGTGAACATCAACTCTGAGATGCAGGTGCATTCAGTTCCAAATAGGGCGAAGAGCGCGTCAAACTGGATCTCACTGCTAGCCACTACTCATCTTTACTCAGAATACTTGTGAATTAAGGCAATATCGAGGCGATACGCACAGTATGCACATATGCCAATAAGAGACTGATCAATTACAGTCTTGAATATCAATAGGAAGATTCAGGTAAACAATACCAAGTGAATTTATATATTTCAATAAACAGAAGCCTGAAAGCGTATATCGTAACAATAAACATCAATGAACTTGGATGACGATTTTATAGGGTATTCGTAAAAATGCATATGAGAACATAGTTTTCAAACACACAAATGAACTAAGTAAAAAAAGTGTAGGTGATATAACACACATTGATACAATTCACTGGGTCTCTGCTATATCTGAGTCCATATATTTTCATATCTGGAATAAAAATAATCTGATATTAATCAACATATGCTCACTAGTGACGGGTTGAAGAGGTATTTCCTGGGATTCTAGAGATAAGCAGTGACCAGTGGATTTCAACCGGGTCTTCTGAGAGATAGTAAGTCACTGATGACAATGGTGGATGTGTCGTTCAATTTCGTGGATTGATTGAAGCTAGATATTAACACCGTTGGATACCGGACGGCTCAGTGGTCTAGTGGTTAATCGCTTGCGTGCGAGACCGATAAGTCCTGAACTCCATTCTCGCGAGGCGGGATCGTGGATGAGCACTACTGAGAAGTGCCACAGTAGAACGAATCGGTCTTCCAGTGCTTCTATGGTGGTCTAACTTCAATTGATTCATGATCTCAACTATTAAAATAATAACCATAGCTAAAAAAAACACTAAAATACTGTTCTAGATTCTTTAACTTTCAAGTTTAATGAGATAATATTTAAGCCATAAAACACTGATATCCATGGTATGCAACTGACGGCTATATAAAGGTTTAATTTATAAACATTTTGTTTAAAATAAAATGATAATGTAATTTATCTTCCAAGTATGTCATAAGTTATGAGTTGTACTTTTATGTTTGAAGGATTTTAATACTATCCAACTCGTAAAACTAAAGCGGATGCCCAATAACTAAATTAGATTAGAATGCCTTTTGTTCCCTAAGGATCCTGCAGCCGATATGCACCATCAGTTTGAAATTGGTTTTACAATTCCATTTGGTGTATCCTCAGTATCCATCAACTCGGTTTAAGCACCGCGCATTCGCTTCACGTCTGCCCATTTATGCAAACCAAATTTCTGTCACTTGAAGTTAATTAGGAATACCCTGCCAGAGGCTTCAAATACTGGGTCATATGGGAATATTTTGAGAGGAGAAACGGACTCTGTTTTATCCTAACGAAGAATAAATGGATGGCAACTACTAAGAATTAATTATGGACTGTTGTTACATATATTCTTTCTGGATAACTGTTAAGTAACTATATTATATGTATATTTATATTCCCTGTATTATAAGCTTCCATTTGATCGATTGACTAATATTATACGACTAACCTCCGTTTATTAGTTACAGTCTCTCACACTCATAGCCACTTTTGGCTTAAACTTGTATAATTATTGTTTTCTATTTTATGGTATGATGCGGTCTGACTTGCCTGTATATCAACTACGTATTTCTGAAATACATTATGCATGTAGTGGGAGCTCTGATTGTGTTCTTGTCTTAAAGGGCAAGAAGAATCAATAAGGACTCTAGGATACTCGTGCTGGTTAACGCACCATTAATTTGGCACAGTGCCAAGGTCACGTAAATCGTTGTCCCAATTGGTAATTTAGTCACGTGATATTTGACAGGAGATAAGACAACACTCTCCTTACCCTCTGAAATACCATGACATTTGAGAGCAATTTATGACACGGCGCTTTGGTATGAAAGGAAACTGTATGGGACTGGCATTTGTCAGTCTGTCGTGACTCCGTGACCATGGTCTTGGACATAATGGAACTCAGTGCCTTGAAAAGTTATCAGAGATGGCTTAGAAGAAAAGTCAGTGGCGATCCTGTTGTAGTTTCCTCTTACATTGTTAATTGAAAGTCCATTAAACAAATGAGGAATGACAAGTTACTATGATAACATAGCATCCCAGCTGAAGCACTAAAGGCGAATAGAGGTAACTTCAAAGACTCTCCGTCCTCTTGATGAAGATTTGGGATAAAGATAAGGTTTTAACAGACTATAAAGAGGGATGCCTAATCAAGATATCACAAGAAAATCTTGGTTGAGAATAGTACAGAAGGATCACACCACTGTTAGTGCCAGATTATTTTTAACAGTGTTGCTAGACCGAATGAAAGATTCAGTAGGCACCCAGTTTCTAGACCAGAAAAATGGCTATCGTAAAGATAGATAGTGTACCAACTACATAAAGACACTGTGAATCACGGTTGAACAACCCAATGTCAGCTCACTTAATTATGAGAAGGCATGCGGCAGCGTGGACCATCTTGTGGAACTGTAGTGGTTGGTACTGTCAAGCCCATACAGATTGTTCTAGCGTCTGGACAGACCAATTTATTTGTTCTTAAGCCACATTTTGACCTCTGATTATTCGCTTATTAACCCCAACTTTCTATATGATCGTATGTATGATGATCGCTTACCCTATTCATTACGTGTCTGTAACATATTTTTGGTCTGACTATAGACATTTGAATTACGCTTGGTTAGATCAAGTTGGATCTCTCTCTCCACTGCGCGTTGGTTTGTTCTTACATTTACTCAACGATATTTTCCACTTCGTTTCGTTTTTTTTATTGTCTGTCCGGATCAATGGGTCTATGAAATATACAAATCTAAAATTCATTTTCATATTTGTCTTATTTTATTCCGTTATTCTCTAACGCGATATAAATGTACGAGGGTTGGTGGCATACGTACCGCGATAACGATCATCATACGACCTAACTGGAGACAGATACATGGCAACTAGAGAACCCTATTTGACATTATGGAGTACCCGAGATCGTTATCATACGGAGTTCCTACGACGGACTAGGTCGCAGTTGCATGTGTGAGGAATCCCACAGATCCATTTCAGGTGAAGATTGATGCTAGACATAGGTGACTGATCTCATCTTTTCCTTTTCTTCTGATGGTTGACTGGATTATGAAGACTTCCATATATCAGAAGCACGGAATGCAGTGGACATTTCAGATGACACAGACCTACTGTATACACGACAGGTGCGGATAAAGAAAGTGAGTGTAGAGGTGGCTTCATCAAAAGTATGCCTCAACATTCATAAAAGAAAAATCAAAATCCTAAAGTACAGTGGAGCCAGCACTAACCGAATCACACTTGATTTCGATATCGCACCTTTGGGAGGTACCATTGATAAATGAGGATGATCCGATAAACTTAAGGCATGAATTGCGGAAGTGAGAGCAGGATTCCTACATTTGAAAAACACCTAGAACTCAAAACAACTGTCAGCCAATACCAAAGTTAAAATTTTCAACACTAACGTTAGAAAAGTACGAAGCCTAAACTTGGAGAACTACCATCAATATCACCAAAAACGTACGGGTATTTAGAAGCAAATGCCTACGCAACATACCCAAGTCCCATTAGCCAAAGACTATCAGTGATAACCTCCTATGGCAGACAACAAACGAGCTGCTCGTTGAGTTAGTCAAGAAAAGACACTAGGATGGATGGGACACTCTAAGGAAACCATGAAACTGTATCATAAGACAAAGCCTAACTCAGAATCCTCAGGGAAAGCTGAAAAAAGATAAACAAAAGAACATATGATGATCGGAATTAGACGTAAAAATCATGATAAACAATAGGGCTAGGCAACAACTAGATAGGATAGACCAAGAAAGTTTCTTGGAAAGCCTTGGTAGACATCATCTTCATCAAGGGGAATAATAGACTTAAGTAAGTTATCTAATTTAACAAACAATACATTCAATTTAGACAAAGAAAGCGCAATTTTAAATGATATAAGCGTTTCTTTTGTTTGATTAAAAAAAAAAACACAACGGAGTCAGTAGTCAACCTTCCTGTTAGAAATACATAAATAAATATAAAGTTCATATATTATTCAATGAATACAGATAACTAGATAAGTAAATAATAATTGAAAAGAAAAAGAAAAGTGAACAAAACCTGAATATAATTGAATATTATCATTTAAGTAATAACAGTAATAATATTTGAGTACAATAAACAAATACAAGTACACATATCAATGTATGGATACAGAGAAGAAAAAAAAAACTCCATTAAAAACAACAGAAAGATAAATCGATCGAGTCCCTTTGAATTACACACATACAATTCCATACTTTCTAAATTCATGATTACAACAACAACAACATCCAGACCAAACAAGAAAAACAAACAAAACAGTAAGAACCAGGCTATAACCCACAGGAAAAAAGAAAAATTTTTTAGAGGCAAACAAAAAAAAATCGGAAAATATCGTGATTTTTTTAATACTTGGACAACAGATCGATAACAATGTGAAGAAAATATCTTTGAGATGAGAAACATTGAAAAAAACAAACAAACAAACAAACAAAACAACGATAGATCGTAACAGTAAATAAACATTTTTTTTTAAAAAAAAGGAAATAAATAAATGCAGATATAATAGTTATAATGGACGAGTACGTAGGATAGACATATAATAGACATATGAATGTCATGTTAAGAGTGTACGTATACATAAATAGACAGACATAGAAACACAGGTGAATAAGGGGAAATAAGGAAAGATTAGAAGAAATTCACCATAGATACACACACACACACATAGTACTGGTGCAAGAATACTATTATTATCTCTAACACCAATAACAAACATCTCGAACTACAGTAACTTCTAATATTGATTAAGGAGAATAAATTACAACTGATTATTCTAAGAATCAGAATAACAACATTTTTCTTCTTAATATAAATATAGATGTGTCCGCTGTCAGCAAAAGAAAAGAAAATATTTCACTAGTTATACCATTTTCTATTGAAATTATATATGTGGATAAGTTATAGAGATATGACTAGAGTATAGGTTTTTTAAAAACAACAACAAAGAATAGAATAAAACAAGAAGAAATCATGAACTTGATTGAATATATTCATAAAATTTCAATAGTTGAGATCATGAGTCAATTAAAGTTAGATCATTATGGAAAACCTGGAAGCACTAGACAGCAAGTTTTCCATAGTGGTCTACCTTCAATTAACTTATGATCTTAACTATTGAAATTACAATAATATCCACAATAAAATCCTTTATGACATCCATAAAAGTATATATATATATATGCATATTAGTGAAAGATCGACTAGGAAGTATACACGATATTTGATTACAATTTTTCTTGTTTTTTTGTTGTTGGTTGATTTCATTAATAAAACATAAAACGAAAAAAACAAGAAAAAAACAAGGAAAACAATTTTTAAGCAAAAAAAGAAACAATCAATAAATGAATATTAAATATGATTGCACATGAATATTGAAAGGAATAAAGGGGGGTGGGGTGGGGGATAAAACAATTTTTTTTGAAAAAAAAAGTCAGCTGTTCTATGCTTTTGTCATGTTGCTTTTTATATTGCACATTGTATAGTCTGTTAATTATAGTAATAGTTAATCAGAATGAAATGCATTGATAAAGTGAATATTGCACATTATGTAATTGAATAAATGCAAACAACATACATAAGTTATTGATAATTTAATACACATATAATGAATTCACTTATATATATAGTGAATCTGTTTGCCGCCTTTAGAGATCCCAGTAGAGTGTAATGGTTTACAAAATGATAATTAAGAGAAAAACTCATACACATACCGGCATGAAGGTAAAATTAACAGGAATGGTAATTTTATAGGAACAAAAAAAATCAATGAACTGTTTACATACGTTGATATTACAAATTTCAATTTGCGTGTATATTTATGGAAATGTCATGGGAATAATTTTAAATAAAAGATATTCTAGAAGGAGAAACAAAAAGACCCGAAAGAAACATTCCTCAAAACATATATGTGTATGAGTAGAATAAATCAATAGTTTTGATAATAATTTGAGCGATGTAACATGGAACTACTAATATTTTCAGAAATGTATGCGTCATGATAAAGGTAGTGGTGATAAAATGACTAAATATGAACAATGATGAACATAGAGATACAGATCATAGAAAGATTAACATCATAAATGTATATATATATATTGGGGCCTGTGTGTTTGTTTTTGTGATGATGAGAGAACAGGAAAGAGGTAGAATCCATCCATCAAAACAAATCTATATTTTACGGACGAAAACGGCGTTTGGCACATGTTTTTAATGTACAACGACGACGACCGCGTTGATGATTAGGTAATATTTTATCAAAGGATTCACGAGATTTCGAACGGGTACCATAATGTGATGATGTAATGAGCACATTACTATTAGAATGTGATGATGATGATGTTTTACATATATATTTATTACTATCTGATTTTGATTTACAATGTCGTCGACGACGACGCCGATATGATGATTTCAATGATGGTGTTTTATTGTTAGACGACAAATGATCATTACCACTATCAAGGTAAAAATGATGTTTTTTTAAAGCATCCTCGTCAGTAAAACTTATATCATCTTGAGTTTTTAGAAAATCTTCAAAATTAGGCGATTCAGATCGTTTAGTTATACTTAAACATTTTCTTGAGCGTCTTGTTGTTTTACAATTTTGTATTGGTGGGATTGAATTATTAACAGTAATATCGGATTCAGATTTGATAAAAGATGACTGGTAATAAATGTCATCAATATTCACATGTGAATTATTAGAAAAATCTTCATCAGTTTTATTAATCATAGGTTGTGTAACCCCAACATTGAGATCAATTTTTTCATGGTCTAAATTTATAGAACATTCTAAAGAATGATTTTCAAACAATCGCACAGCATCATTGGTAGTAGTGGAATTGGTGAAATCAGTTAATTGACTTTCGATTGTATTGGTGGATAGTTGTTGTGCTTTTGAAATAACCGATCTAGAAGATGAAATGTTATGCTTTATGTGAGTTGTGGCACTTTGAGATGACAATGTAGAACTGTTGGATTCTGTCGAGGAAGAAGTCAGATCCAATGGAGATAGTGGGCTGATATCTGTTGGTTCGCACTGATCTGGACTTGATGTAGGGATAGACAAAGTATTATTAATATTCAGTAGTGATGAAGTACTAGAAGCATAAGAAGAGAAAAATATCATGTATAAAAGTTATGTGATGAATATTATGACTATTACTACTCACTAATATTCTAGGAAACTGACTGGAGACGAAAGCAAGTCTTAATGTATAAACAGGGTTCAAGCTATTGATTTACAAACGAGTGAACTTGATTAAATTAAGAAATGATTCGAAATCCCATCTCACCTAGTAGTTAACTCAATCAGTCGTAACATAAAGTAAACTTCAGCATAAATATCCATTGGCTAGTTTCCGAATTTTATATCCACATAGTAAGAGCAAATATTAAACAGATGAATATCGAATAAATTAGAAAAAATATTAGTAGTATTGATGATAATAAAAAATATAAGCGTCGAACAGATGGAGTGAAACAATGATTACACCTGTGCCACTATGACTAAATTCGAGACATATCACTTATAAAACATTATTATCATTCAATCACATGTGACAAATTAACGTTCAAAACCTAACAAGGAAGCATGCATATGATAAAATCTTGGACTGCTAATTTGAATTCAATTGGTTCAAAGATTTACGAGACCTAAGTTTTCTTTTACGTTCTCCGTATTCATCAACCGTATGTGTACGCATAAAAATTAACAATATTATCGCAGATAATCATCAACCATGGTCGACTGATTAGGGTTGAATATAAAACATATCACAAGTCTTGAAAAATACATCATCAAACGACTAATAAGTGGATACATCGAATAATCCCATAGTTGTAATCCCTTAAGAGAAAAAAAACGCTTACTGTGTGAAAGAGGAACATTTGAGTGCCGAGATTACCTGATTATTTAAAATCAGTATATTACTTGGAAAATTTAGCATATTTCGTATTAACCATCAATACGATTATTTCGTAACTTACATTTATTATTTACTTTAACAGAAAATGACCATCCAAATCAACTGGGGGGTAGTCATCACATAACAGCCTTTACCGTATTACCAATGAAAAAATATAAACTTGACTAAAATACACCAAATTATTCCTATGATTGGGCTAAAAGACACATTTATGTAAATATTTCAGTCCAAAGGAAGTCCAGTAGTGGACTGAACAGTTGTGGTAACGTCTCACACCATGAGGCCAGATTATGCGAGTCTGAATCCCACAGGGAGCATCAGCCCTCTGAAGATTGTAATTATCTCTTCCTGATAAGTGCCAACTAGCATGATACATAAGGTTAGGGTTTGCTGATAACTACCTTAATATAAGTAGGGGAGTGTTTGCTTTTGGTCTTGAATGTTCCATAGGATAAGACAACTCAAATTATCGTGCTTGAAGATGATTAATGTGTACGTTTTTCAATACTTCTCATTACTTTATTGTTAGTTACTGTGATACTAGGTGATCTAGACTTCGTGCAAATTGGAACTGAGATTCTCTCTATGAAATTCGAATCTATGTGCCATAGAAAGAGACGTTAACACATTGAGCGCAACACTGGTTAGAGTAAGAGTGAACTGAAAGTTAAGGGCGGCCAAATAAAAAAGTAGCATCAGTCCACGAAGTAACTGACCATTAGTTTGAGCTGTGCTGATGGATGCAGATTAACTGGTTGGAATCTGTGAGATAAACACGATTAGTCGGTTGGAGACGTTGAGTGACCTAGCTCAGAAACTATCACTGTGGCGCAGATGAATTCACTGTATTTTCCTTTAAACCTTGAGTTTAAAAACGGTTTTACTTGGCGAACGCATTCCTTCTTTTTGGTATTGATCTGACTCTATTGCTATTTATATTGCTCATTTCATTTTATTTTGCTTATTAGATATAGCAAATTATGCTAACGGATATTTGTGACAGGTTATGTGTGGTTGGAAGTATTTCCAGTGGGAATTTGTGTTATTTAAAAGTATGAAAACTTATGTCAGTTTCTATTACATTTAGGTCCAGTTAAAATATGATTTTTATTACATAGCCTAGTACACAAGAAATATTTTAATTTTGTTTTGCATACAATAGTAGTGTTTATAGAAAGTTCAAGACCAAATTGTAGACAATGACTAGCTAATCAGCAGAATGAAGTGTTAGTTTTATCAATCTGAATGAAACGCAACTCACTAACTAAATACAAGTATATGTATTTGACTTAGAGTTACAATGTGTGCGTGTGTATGACCAAGCAACATGAAGTAGATAAAAGATTTGAATCAGTAACTTAATAATTGAACATCAAGCACTCTAATAATTAAGCTATTGTAAGTGATCACTGAGCAGTGATTAGTGTTATGTTTGTCTAGGCCTTCAATGCTGAATGAAATCTATAGATAAAGTTGAAATGTGGTCACCAATTTAAGGGACTCGATAGGGCAAGTATTATGTTGAGATGTTAAATGGTCTAAAGTAGCCAGTAGGAAATTCTCGACCTAGGTTTTGTGCTATTTGGCACTCGTCACCAAAACATACCTAGGACTACGAAGTCACTGATGCTCCCTATGAGATTCAAACCTATGTCAGTTTGAGACATTACTACCAAGCTAGAACGAAACCCGGGTTCGGGATTTCCTGCCGATTACTCATATGAACCCAACAAAATAATCATGTATACATACATATATTACTTACTGTAATCGAGAGTTATCTAAATGAACCTCTTGAAATAAAGAACTTAAATTTGACTTGAATCTATTGACACATCGATTACGAACGTTTATATCTTTAGATCCTATGGGAATTATAGTGGAAAAATTCATTGGGGATTGTAAAATAGAACTACTTAATGAAATTGGAATAGGTTGATCATGTGTATGATTAGGATGAGCAGCAGCAGGGCGTAGCAGAACTGAACCACCACCACCACTACCATTCACAGTAGAATTTAAATGATGTCTATTCATAAAACTTGATTGATGAGTAGCTCGAATTTTACTATGTGTTGCTAAATGTGATTTTAAATTTGTCGACTGAGCAAAACGTTTACTACAACCAGGTTGTGGACACGGATACGGTCGATCCCCAGTATGAATACGTAAATGAGTACGTAGATTGAAATCCAAAGAAAAACGTTTACCACAACCCTAAAATAAGTAAGAAACAAAAAAATTTTTTTTTGATAGAACAGGTATGTCATTTCTTTTTTACAATTAGAACTAGTAACACATTTAGATGAAAGTTTATATGCAAATGTGAAGATATTTATGTACCCAACACCTGTAGTCACGCATTTATTATGTCATGACTACTCATTTATTAAGCAGCAAGTGAAACCAAAAACTTTGGAGTTGGGTCCAAGATCATGTAACCTGGAGGTTAAAAGTGGAGTGTTTCGACAACTCAGTTATGTAACTGAAAGTTTAGAAAGATGAATGATATTCTCAAACACATTTACTGACAGCATTTACAATACTCTTTCGTAGTTACACTTTGGTATATTCAAAAGTATGGGTTGCCCTTAAGGATTTAAATTTGCAGCTTATGGTCTCAGTCATATAATCAATCTATCTAGTAAGGATGACTCAAGGACAGTATTTTATTCAATACAGTTCCATTAGATTATGACGATAGGGAAAAGAGACCACTGCGTTGACACAGCATGTACAGTCAAAACGTATAGGTTATGAACCGCATTCATTATAAATGCTGTAATTAGACTAAATCACTTAAGAAACCTCCAAAGATTGAGTACAGTGCAAACCTATGACATACTGCTTAACTGTTGGGTGTTTAAACTAATGGTCTACAAGCCCACGACATTTAAAAGCATGAACCCGAATTCTCTGTTACTTAGAATTTTGAAACTATTCAATTAGTTTGGTTTTCTACTGTATGTTACAACAAATAAGTAGTGTTTGTGGCGTATATTTCTATCTTCAGTCGTCATACGCAAAGTAGATTCTGACACGTACATCGGTTCAAGCTGCCACACTCTATTAACATACGGAATGAAATTGTCAAAAAATATTCCAGGGTAGTAGAGGTAGTAACAACAGTATTAAGGGTAATAGAAGAGATTAGGCATTGAAGATACAAGTTGAAAGAAAAATTACAAAAAAAATTATTGAATATAGAAGTTTAGGATCTAAGAAAAGACAAGGAGAAGAATGCACCTGTGCCAATGCAACCGATTTGAAGCCATGTCATCCAGTCTCTAAAGATTGACCCTGTAGTGTCAGTTATTATGGCAAGCCCATATACCTTTATTCTAACTTCCGGACATCCTATTTTATTCATTTTACTTGAGCCATATTTTGACCTTGTCAATTATTCGCTTATTAGCCTTGACTGTTTTCACATGAGCGTATATGTGTGTACACTTCATATCCCATGATTCATCACATGTCTGTAGTTTATTTTGTCTGCCTATAAATACTGAGTAACGCTTAATTAAAATGGAGTTGGCTTCACAGCCATCCTCCCTGTGCGTCATTTTGCTTGGCTCTGTTTCATTCACTTCATATACAAAATATATGTATTCAAATGCCATTCTCGTTAATTGACTTATTTAATTCCGTTATGGACTAACGCAATCTAAGTCGACGATGATAAACGAGAAAAGGCGAATACAAACAAACATCCATACATTCTGATATGGAGTCAGATCCACTCCGCGCAATGGGCCACTTCAACCCCAATAATCGCACGGATCCAAACCAGGTAGTCTGTACCTAACTACATGGCTCAGTCCAACAGTCAGTGTCTTCACTGACTGAAAACAATTTCTATTTGAATCCTATATCAACCCAAAGAAACAAGATTCTTCATTCAATGAAAAGTCTATGTAGAGTGAGTGACCATAGATATTAATTGGAGACTGATTACCCTTTATTATCGTGCAATAGAATTGAAAAAAATGACTGACGCTTTTGTCGAATTTTGTTGTAATCTAATTGCTCTGAGCAGAGTCTACCGAATCATATCAAATGTTTTGAGTTTTTCAAACTGTTGAAAACGTGTCTTACAGTCTCAGTTTAATAGTCAATATATTAAAATATATTATAGGGCAACTCATACTTCTGAAGGGTCCAGACTTAAGGAAAAAAATGTCCGGAACTTTGTAGTTTTCAACAGTTTGTTTACTTGAAATTCAGTCTTTGCAATGAAAACCGTATTCCTATTGACCTAATCTCCAACATTTACTGAATTAAATGATTATAATTATGACTCAAAATGCAAAAACAAATCCTTACATCAAATGCGCATTGATAAGGCTTTTCCCCAGTATGAACAAGTTGATGACGTTTCAATTTGCTTGATTCAACAAACGCTTTACCACATTCTGCACAGATATGAACGCGTGGACCATGGGTATGCAAATGTTTACGCATTGCAGCTGTATCTCGAAATGTTTTCCCACAACCAAGATGAGGGCAGAATACAGTACGATTTGATGTGAAATCAGATGGGATTGTAGCGGTTACAACTGATGCTAAATCACCGGGATTATTGCCTCCTAATGAATTATGATGCATTGTAGAAATATAAAATCCATTTTGACTGTATAAAAGAGAAGATTGCAAATCTGTTGATTGCATAACGGAAGAATGTGTCATAAAATTTATTCCTTCACTTTTCAGATATGTGGCATCTAGATAGACAGAAAATAGTAATATTACATGTTAAACTATAGTTACATGAACATTAAAACTACAAATTTACAGCACTAATATATATTCATCAAGTTATCAAACGTTAAACAGGCCATCCAGTTCCCTACATCAAAGTAGGCAGATTTGGGTTCGAACTATAGATTCAATAGTTAAAATTTAAATACTTCAAGATTAAACCATCACCCATACATGTAAATAAGTGGACGTATTTGGCTGTTGCCGTTCATTAAGTGCTAAACGTCGTATGAACTTGTTCCCTATGGTTGTATTCATGGTATATATTTTCACATAGCCGTAGTGTCAACAAATCCAACCATTTCAGGACACTGATTACCAAATTTAGGTAACATAAGCAAGTCTCGGGGCCGAAAGGAAATATGGAGCAGACTACTGAACAGGATACTTTACCTAACACAGATAGGTGTGGATCATGTCTGTGACATACGTGGCCAGATTTTCAAAAGGAGGACTTTTGGCATTCGTGTCGTTGAGGTTTTGTCAGAGATCAAATCACTAGGGGTGATAAAAATGTCAAAATAAGTAAAGTTTTCAAAAATATTTTACTTTCTACGACTAGATTGAACACTAATGCAGATCAATTCGAAGGCCCCCAAATGCCCTGGTACGGCCGAGAGCGGGGTGGGCTCGCCCTCCCTCACGAAATGCTCTCACATGGCCACGCGTATATAGCCTCTGCCAGGGAAGTCCTACTCACTGCCTTCTCGCGACGCGGGTGTTGTTTACGAAAATGAGAGGACGAAAAGCAAATGTCCGGCGCTTTAACCGGATTTCAAATCAATGGTGCACATGGGCTCCAGTATCCTGAGGGAACAAATGGCGTATGAACCAATCGTTGGTCACCGGCTATCATGGGACTGCATCTCCTTACGATGCTCCACTGCCTTGTGGGTTAGACCTTCAGGTCGAAGGCTCGGGGTGTGGCACCCTAAGAAAACCACCTGCTTCGGTTTGGGCACCCGGGCAGTGTCACAGCCTTCACACACATCGAATGAGATTTGTGTGGCGCATATGTATTTGGTGCCTCCTTGTACCAATATCTATATGTTAAAATAATAATAATAATTCGAAGGCAAAATTTTGCATTTAGAAGGAGAGAAACGTATCCCAAACACTTTGGTACGTTTGTGTGAGTGCTCATCTGTCTACATATATAAATGAATGCCCAAATAAAGTTTTGGATAAAACAGATGGTTGAACAAACGGGATCGGTGGTCATTGACTGATTAATTAAAGGTTAAATATTGAGTCGAACAGTAGACACGAAGTTACGTGCATGCTTATGTCTCCAGCGTAAAGAAGCTCATGTCTACAGTGATATTGGAACAATAAAGATCCATGATAAAATCAAAGGATATGTACAATAATCAGTTGTAAGATTATAAGCAAAAATATCTTTATCATGTTGTCAGGATTAGATTAAAATTAGGATTTTTATAACCAAAACGAGTAGAAAAAATTGAATGAGATACAGTACAGGTAAAAAAATTGTGCATTTCGAATTATTAGCTACAGTATATTTTTAGTGGTAATACATTAGACTGAACTAGGGTGATTTAATTGTGAAGAATTCATTGTCGTTTTGGACATTGTGAGCACTTATTTCTAGAAGTGAACTTTTCTAAAAATTATTTTACAAGTACTTGATTAATTCATTTTGATAAGTTTGTGAACGGTTGTTAGTGATGAAACAGATCCATAAATGGTTCAAACTTGTAAAATTACAACAATTTATTTTAATATTTACCACTGTACTGTATGGGGCGGAAACTTAGAGAACTACGAAAGCCATCATACAGAAAATACAAGTGTTCATTAACAGCTGTCTACACAAAATACTTCGGAACCGTTGGCCAAACACTATCAGTAATAACCTACCATGGGAGAGAACAAACCAGATCCCAGCGGAGGAAGAAATCAGGAAGAAGTGCTGGAAGTGGATAGGACAGACATTGAGGAAAGCACCTAACTGCATCACAAGGCAAGCCCTCGCTTGGGACCCTCAAGGTCAAAGGAGAAGAGAAGACCAAAGAACACATTACGCCGAGAAATGGGGACAGACATGAGAAGAATGAACAACAATTGTATAGAACTAGAAAGGAAGGCTCAGGACGGAGTGAGTTGGAGAATGCTGATCAGAGGCTTATGCTCCATTGGGAGTAACAGGCGTAAATAAGTAAGTTAACTGTACTTTTGATATCTTATAGCTACGAAATTTCGTTACTATTCATAGAATAACATTCAGAAAAAACAATCTTCATTCTCAATCTATAGCATTACATATATTTTAAACTATTGTAGCAACTATAGACAAACTGAAAACAACAGAAAATAATATATTTCCCCGTGACTGGTTTATAACTTGATAGTTAAGGAATTTGGTTTTCAATAGATTAGGCTGCAAAATCGAACTCTTCTGCACTTAGTTTAGTTTGAGCAGCCGTGTAGTAATAAACTTAATTCTCACACAATATGGCTTAAAACCGAGTACATAAACTCGTACTTGATAAATGAATGCACAAGAACTTATTCGGTATGGTAAATCCGATAATACACACAGTAATTACTCGCCAATTATGTGTACATTTGATCTTTAGTAAATGAACAATAAAAGTAATTATAATACTCTTAGATTTATAACGGAATAGGCGAATGAAAAGAATTTTTTTTATGGGTGTGGCTCAAATTTGTGAGTATGTACTTATTTATGCTAAGAAATGAAATACGGCAAAACTAGAGTATACCCTTGAATTAAACAATCTGGACACTATTTGATTGTGACACATAAAAAGACAATAAATCAGATTTTATTTTTTTCACCAATTAAAATTAATAAGCTACTAAGTATAATGACGGATCCTTAGGTGTTCTTGTCCCTCCATTTTTCGACAACGGTAAGAGTCAGACGCTTTTCTACCCCGGCAATTCACTGCATTCAAAATTACAATTAATAATTTTAATATCAGATGGGTTTTGTGGATATTATAGTAATTTCGATGGTTAAGGTCATGAGTCAGTTGAAGCCAGACCACTACGGAAAACCTGGAAGCACTGGACGGCTGTTTCGTACTATTATGGGACTCCTGAACAGTGCGCATCCACGACCTCGCCCCCTGCGAGATTCGAACCCAGGACCTACTGGTTTCGCGCGCGAGCACTTAACCATTAAACCACTGAGCCGGCATCCAATGGTGTTAATATCTAACTTCAACTAATCCACGAAATTGAGTGATATATCCAATATCATATTACATTTCAATACCAATACTATTGTAAGCAGTTGATAGGAGACTAGGAAATAAAAATGAATTCATGATATTCTGTGTTAACTGTCATTTTCACTTTATTCACATTTATTAAAGGAGATAGTTGTAAAAAAATCCAGTGCACAAAGATTTGGTAATTGGCCGGAGATGAACAAATGTATGATCAAAATTGTCAAAATATGTTATCCCCACCAATAAGTCGCAAAACACAGTAAATTGATGGTCACAATAGCAAGGCAATAACCAGGTTAACTATGGATACGACTGTATATCAACTCTGCCGACCCGATAAACGATGTCACATATTTTGTACTTATGAACGCCTGGTTGAAATGGCCAGAGATTGTCCTTATTGCTCTTCTGTCCACCAACAAAATCCTTTCAGTATAGGTAAATTTTCTATTGTAACTGATTGGAAGACATCTAAGTATCATATAATGGGTCACAGTTCACAAAGTTCTGATGCTGTCAAGCTGTTAATTAAGTGTATTGGTCCCATATCATATAAAGTCGAAATCACACCTCCAAGTGGGTGCTTCTACAAACAAAGGGAGGGGGTAAAAAGTTTCTTATCTATCGATCGCATTTTGCCTAATAGCGCAGCTCCTAACAACTTAACCAAACTGGAAACCTTAGTGGATCGAGACTTAAGAACTCACTATACCATGATGCCGTGGAGACGACCCGAAATCCAAGCTAATTCCCCAGCATTTGAAGTTCGTACACAAGAGTTTGCTTACAACTACCGGGTTCCCGTGACCAATGGATATAAAGGTATATAACAATGAGGCAAGGATGGGTGTTTCGTATGACTTAGCTGTGAGAGAAATACTACTGAGCCGAATACAACCAAAACATACCCTTACATATTTTGCTGAACACCTTCAGTTTACTAACCATGGAAAATTCAAACAACCTGGACGCCTAAATCGGATTTACGAACAAGATGGATGGAAGACGGTACAAGTTCAGATGAACCGGGAAGAAGTTAGTTGTTAATTGGCGGCATGTTTTAGAAATGCTAAACCCCCAGACATAACGTATCAGATGGAATTATTTGTAAGATTATGTATTAAATTGCAGTGATTTTTGCGCGTTTGAATCCCAGTAAGCTTTTATTGCATTGTGACAATTTCTTCTTAATCACTTAATATAATTCGTACATAAGTGAAAGAATTTTCTTTGGTCGCTACTGAAAAAATCACCCCAATATTCATTTTTGGATCAGCTAGAGGTAAGAAGAGAACTATGGTGTCCTGGTATTAAAGTGTGGTCGAGTTATCGTTGTTATTATAGTCATATCAGTAACATAGTAAATAACGGTGAGAAGTAATAGTGCCAGACAATAAACCAAACTGAAGTAAGTGGAGTGGAATCTTAATCTGATACTTAAAACCTTTAACAACTTCGTAAATTAAGTGTTGTAAACGTAAAACGGACACTAGATAGATTATTATTCATTAAAGAAAACAATAAACACATTTTACAAGATTGTATGCCAATCTAACTGTTAGATCACGGTGTAAGTAGTCTTAAAAAGAAACTATTGTAGTATAATAACTAAAAGTTACCTGATCTAGAATTGGGATATGATGAGGCAATCACAATAGCTGGTTTTCTAAGAGTGAGTGGTGTATTAGAGTTAACGAATGCAACTTTCGGAAACCAAGTTGGACTACCTGCTGATTCTTTTATTGATCCGGAAAAACGAGAAGCAGCTAGAAACCCGCAATGAGCAAAACGTGTAGAAGTGAATGCTGGTTTAAAGCATGGCTTTAATTCATTAAATGAACTTTTCGTACGAAGGATGGATGCACCTGATTTCAGTGTTATTTGTCCACAACGGCGATATTTCGACTTTAAAGAAAGACAAGCTGATATTGGCCTAGATGGATAGTTCGGGTTAACTGTTGTGGTTAGATGGTTAACATGAGATGGTAGTCGTATTATTTCAGTTGATTTTGCAGAAGATAATGACGATACAGGTACCGAGGTAGGGATTTTAGTCGCAGATTCATTTGAGTTTAAATTAGATGAGTCAGTCGATCTAAGATGTTTTATTTGGACATAATCATCAGATTGATTTGTAGCACAGTTATTTGACGAAAACAAACTGCATGCATCCACTTCTGAATCGGAAGGATTTATCTGTGAAGAATCTGAATAATTAGATTCAGTGTGAAATAATGGTAATGGAATATGAAGATCGGAAAGCCTCTCCAAAGAAACATCGTCACCATCAATGATATCGTGACTGGTTACATGATCTTTGTCAAACACTTCATCTATACTATCTGATGAAGTTACTCCGATGTCATTAGGGATCGATAATGGACTATCGGGGCTACATAAATAGGCTTTATCAGTTATCTCTTCAGATCCATCATTCCACGAACATTTACTATGCTTCTGTTCATCGGAAAAAGAATTTTTATCATGGAAAACATCGTGTTCCTTATTACCTACAAACAAACAAAAAATATATAGTAAACTAAAGCGAAATAATAGTTGATACACAAAAAGATGACTCCGAATGCCCTCGTTAGGCTGAGTGTGGAGGGTCATCTCTCCCTCTCGAAATGCTCTCACATGGCCACGTGCATACAACCACTGCCATGAAAGTCCTACTCACTGCCTTCTCGCACCACGGGTGTTGTTTACGAAAATGAGAAAACGAAAAGCGAGTGTCCGGTGCTTTAACCGGGTTGGTGGATTCACCTAAGGGAGTTGGGAAACCCTGATTCCAAACCAATGGTGCACATGAGCTCCGGGATCCTGAAGGAACAAACGGCGTGCGAACCAACTATTGGTCACCGACTACTATGAGACCGTATCTCCTAACGTTGCTAAACTGCCTTGTGGATCAGACCTCTAGGTCAAATGCTCGGGGTGTCGCACCCTAAGAAAACCACCTGGTTGGGTCTGGGCACCCGGACAGTATCCCAGCCCTGACATAAATCGAATGATTTATGTGGCGCATATGTATTTGGTGCCTCCTTGTACCAACGTTTATGTGTTTAAATAATAATAATGATATACAAAAGGATACAAAACCAGATGAAGAAAACATTGCGCCTGAAAATATTATCGCGACTCAACACTAACTTAAGAACCAGGAAATATTAAGCAAACCCAAACAGTTGATTTATGAATGTTTAAGACTTCTAAACAAGTCGACAGACGATAATCGCGAACTACATATGACATGGAAAATCACAGAAACAGGAGGCTACATCTGCGCTTATCGTCAAAGAACTATTGGAAGGAGCTGAGCTGTCTATGTTTTATTCAGTCTAAGTGTTGACAAAACTAAAATTTACGTGATTAAATTTTACACTAATTAAGCCAGTATTTATACTTTCTATAGTTCTGTAAAATTCGTTATGTTGTGACAGTTCAGATTTATAAACTTTCATAAGTCTTACATTTGATCTATCAATAACGATTACTCAGAGATAAGTTCGATGATTATCTTGGACCATTTGTGATGCTGAGTGTAAATAACACCAACACTAGGTAACTAATGAGGCCTAATAACGTCTGACAAACAATACAGGATCTGGGACAAGTATGCTCCTAGGGCAATGGTCGCAGTTTATATTATTGATGAGAAAAGAATCATAATGCCAATTGTCGTGTGGACCTAACTATAGGAAATCTAGTTTAAATGGGAAGAAACTGGACAAAAAATCTGTAAAATAACACCACGTTCAAAGTTAGGAGAGAAAAAGAAGGAAATCTGTAAGACAGAAATCGGCCTTAATCTATGTCAATTAAGCAGGTAGTTCGCTGTACAACAAATGAGCAAACTCATTAATTGGTACGGTTTAGTGTGACCGAAAAACAAACTCACCGATGGTGCTCTCAAACGCCCACTACTTCGATTAGTTCTGACTTTGGTGTGACTACGCTTGTTTCCCGATCATAAACCTTATTGACTTATTTGCTGGGCTCTAGTGACTAATTAGTACGTGATATTTTTGTCTCTTTATTTTCTCCTTTTAACGGATTGAACTGATTTCTGTTTATGCACTATATTAATTTATGTTTCAGAAACGGATTTAAGTGTTACAAACCAAACAACTTACTTGTTTCGACTTTGGTCGTGCCAAGACTATGAAAGTCTAGGAACTTATCAGAAAATTCATCTGTAGGGGAATTAAATCCTACATATTCCATGTTGACTCTGGGCAGCAGTCTTTTACTAACGTTCTCTATGAAAACCGAAGTACCATGTCGATATGATAATAGAAATCTAAGTCTGGAGAATTAAAAAATGGTTGGTGGTAAACAGAATGAACTGGAGTACTGTTATGTGAACGTGAATATCTGGCTAGTCTTACTCTGAAAATATTTTCGGAGTAATTTGAGAAAAGAACTAGACTGTGATTTACAATCTCATTAAGTCGGAAGCGTAATCACAGGGTTAAAAGGTCAATCAGTCAACTGAACTGAGAGCAGATATGAGTGTCGTCTTTTTCCGAGATAGTCTCACTTACATTTGACTTATTAATTCCAGTTTCTTTTGTTGGTCTGTAGAGCTGTCTTAAGTTACCTACAGCTGCCGCCTTTTTCATTTCTTTTGCTTTCGTTGCCCACCACTGTTCACGGTCATTCCTTAGACTTTTGCTTAACCTAGATCTGATTTGTTTTCGCTCTTCATCGTGTTCAGAGCCTGATGGGATGAGTTTACGAGAATCTATCGGTGCAACAGACTTAGTAAGAATCCATCGTGTTTAAATCACTAATAGATGTCGCTGTTGTCTCCACAGCTGTTCGTATATCTTTTCAAGCAACACCTGAGGCAGCCTCGTTTTCAGAACTACCTAAGTGTGACCTCAGCTATTCCTGGAGTCTACTTTTGGCTTCCTCGTCACTGAGTTCGACTCTAATGGATCTTCTTAATGTGGTTTATCTGCATCCAGCGAGGCGCAAGCACATGCGTACTCGTATTAGAACATGATCCAAACAGGTAATCCAGAACAAGCGACAGTCTTCTGTCGGGTCTCTCCAACGATGATTGATGGCAATATGGTCGAGTTCATCGTTAGTTTGGTGTAGGAGTAACCATGTTAGACGATGTTTCTCCTTATTCTTAAAATTGGTGTTTGCTGAAAATAAACGATTGTCTGAGCACAGTTGCAGCAGTTGATCATCATTATCTATTCACTTAGCCGGAATATTAAAATAGGCACCTGTCTTTTTGATTGATTTAAGCTATCTACCTGGGTCCACTTATCGACTTAGAACACGCAGATGACATAGTCCTGTTTGGTGAAGACGCTGACAAAATGCAGTCTTTTGGTAGCACTAAGCAACAATGCCAGAATGTTTGGAATGCGCTTCTCTCCCTCGAAATGCAAATTGTTGCTTCAGGACTGGTCTGCCTCAACACCTGAACTAAGGATAGGGAGTGAAGTAGTCGAACGCGTTGACAACTTCACTTATCATGGAAGTCTGATCAGCCCTAATGGGTTGGTGTCTGACGAAATCTTAGCACGGATTCGAAAAGCTCGCTTGGCTTTTGCCAACTTGCGTCACCTATGGCGAAGGCGAGATATCCGTTTATAAATAAAAGGACGAGTAAACTGCGCGGCAGTCTGTTCTGTTCTACTTTACGGCAGCGAAACATGGCCTTTAAGAGTAGAAGACACTCGTAAGCTACTAGTATTTGACCACAGATGCCTTAGAAATATTGCTGGCGTCCGCTGGGATCACCGGGTAAGTAATAGCCAGATTAGACGCAGGGTATTAGGGAATGATGGTAAATCAGTTGATGAGGTTGTGAATCTTCATCTACTGAGATGGTTGGGCCACGTGTTACGTATGCCTGAACACCGATTACCACGACGTGCAACGCTAACCGGTATTGGAGATGGTTGGAAGAAAGTTAGGGGCGGCCAAACCAAAACGTGGCATCAGTGCTTGAAGTCACTAACTTCTAGTCTGAGCCATGTTGGTAGATGCAGACTACTTGGTTGGGGTCCGCGTGACTGTCGTAATCAATGGTTGGAGACTCTTGGTGACATGGCTCAGAATCGGTCACAATGGCGTCGGTGTATACACTCTCTGTCTTCCCTTAAACTAAGAGATTAAAATCACTTCATATCTTTCTTTCTACGAACCAATTCTTTCTTCTTGTACTATATCTCTATATGCAATCTTTCTCTTATATATTACCACCTTTGACCTAACCACTGCTATGAATCCGGTGTTCATCTTGTTGTGCTGATGCGGTATGGCAACCTGGACCGATGCACATATGTGCCTGGTCCTACGTTGTAGCTGACTGACTGACTGATCTACCTGGGTATTAAAGTCACCTGCACCTAGTATTGTGTCTAAGTGTTTAGCTTTTTGAAGAAGTTCAGGAAGCTTTCTGTAAAATTCATCTTTCACTTCAATGGGAGCGTAGGCAGGAACGACGAAAAGGCAACGACGTGTGTCCCTATCCTTCCAATTTCTTACGGAGCTATTTAGCCGAGCAGCACACAGGCGACTGTTCACATGGATCCATTCTAACAGTGCTTGTTCTGCCCTCGTACTTAGTGCTATATCTACACCCGCCAGTTCACGAGAAATAGCCATCGGGTCGCCACATAAACGGAAAGTGTATCTCGTCGGCTCTCCGTTTTGGCGAGGTGAGGCCTAGTGAATGATCACACTAGGATCCTGTATGCGTGTTTTTGGAGACACAGTATACGTCAATAACACGAAACTTTAGGGTCTTAGCCAAGAATACCTGCTGGCTGATTTGACATACAGCGTGTACGTCGAAGGCTCCAATGTGTAGTTTAGAGCGAGGTTTCAGTAGACCTGGGACAGTGTTTCACGCACTAGAATCGTTGGCCATGGTGACACTTGAGAAGGAAGTCACAAGAGGAAGTCTCGAGTTAAAGCCGAGGTGGGAAGAATAATAGGAATTGAAGAGGAAAATTGATTATGAATACAGTGATCTTGAGTGCTGTTAGGGGTATGAAGACAGGTTTCACTTCCTGGTTGCCCACACAGTGGAAGGGTTCTTATGGAGGTACCTGAAAGGGAAATTGGATTAGAGGTGATCTTAGTGACCTGAGAGCGTGACAGCACTGTCCAAGGAACAACTGTTTGAGGTCGGGCACACACGACCTTTTTGTGGGTAATTTTCGTGTTAGATCTGTACTACTGGAGACGGAAATCTGTGAGATGAGGCGAGGTGTGCAGTTTTAGGATAGACCTTTTCTAACCCAATCCCTCTATATGGGAAGACAGCATCGCTGTTATGCTGGTTGTCTGAAGGAAACACGTTACTGCTGTCACACCTCTGTACAATCAGCAGTACGACTTCGCCCTCAGACCTTGGGTTAGCTGCTTTTAGTCTCACCGCTTTTCAACCAACATGTCCGGCATGAAAGAACCTTGAGGAACGATAGTTCCAGTCGGTATAGGTCGATTGGTTTATCACGGTAGGCAAGCCTGACCATCACGTCAAGGTAGCAGCAACGGTTGGGAGCGTTAAAAGGACGATTACTTGATATCGGCTAAAGTACTTTCTTGAATAACTGTTTTGACTTCGTACTACTGACTTTAAGATTTCTAAACCTACATTCGTTGATCATCATGCGTATATGAAGTTAATTTACTCATGGTATACTAAGCGATTACTTTCAGTGACAGAAACTGATTGGGTGCTATTTAGACAAATGTGCTCAGACCTAAATTTGAGCATGTCTTAGAGTATTTAGATGATCTAGACTAAGGTAAATTAGAGGTAAAGATTGACAGGAAAATGACAGCATATATCAATATATACAGATGGGCCTCAATTACACCATGCTAGTTACGGTTGCTTTACGTAAAGCCATGCGTTAATTTAGTTGAGCCACTTGGAAAAAACGAGATAAGAAGGAATATCATTGGACATCTCTCGTAATGGACGGATTAAACAAGATCGCATCGAAGCTAAATGCCGTTTTCTTTGCAAATTTATTTCACTGTATTATACTCCTTGAATAACATCTTCAAGCCCTGTTTCCGATTACTGCTTATACTCTTACAACCCTATACCACTACGGAATTTTAGTCGACAACTGTGCTAATGTGGTGTGGCAACTCGAACTGACGTACATACGTACGTACGACGTTCTACGCTGTTAATAACTGACTGACTAAATGCCGTTTGGCATTTATTTTAAGCGCATCTCCATAGAAAATGTGCAAGATAAATTAATACTTCGCTACAATCAAGTAACTGAATGTTTTAAAAATACAAAACTACTTAAATAACTAGGGACGGAGCGAAAGGACGATGCCGCCCAGTAGTTAACAAAGTCAGGCTGTTAAATATTGAAACTGGGTAGACATAAATGCTGCTATTAGCAGTTTTATCAAAAATAAGACTTCTTCAGCTGTCTTTTTCTGTCACGCCACCCGATTTAGGTATCAAGCCCTTAGTTACCAACCACATAGTTTGCAGGCTTTGATTTAATTGCTTTGGGCTCTACTCTTGACTTTACTCATGGACAGTTTGATACAATAAGAATGGGCCACATTTCTAAAAACACTCGTTTTACAGGAAACATTGAGTCTAACCATTGCATCACTCACGTAATTGCTTTATCACGGGAATGTGACGATAAGACATCAGGAGTAAAAAATGCAATCCTTTCAAACGGGAAAAGATATTAAACCTGCGTGTGCCGACTCACAACAAGTATATACTGACATAATCTCGTACCATTGATGTATGCTGTGTCTCTGAAACACATACAGGATCACAGCGTGGTCATTCACTTTACCTCACCTCGGCAAAACAGAGAGCCAACGAGATACACCCTCCGTGTATCTGGTAACCCGATGGCCAGCTCTCGTGAACTGGCAGGAGTAGGGATAGCACTAAGCATGAGGGCGGAACAAGCACTGTTAGAATGGATCCATGTGAACAGTCGTCTATGTGCTGTTCGGCTAAACGGCTCCGTAAGAACTCGGAAGGATAGGGACACACGTCGTTGCCTTTTTGTCGTTTCTGCCTACGCTCCCACCGACTGCAGCTCAGATGAAGTGAAAGATGAATTTTACAGAAAGCTATATGAACTTCTTCAGAAAGCTAGACGTTCAGACTTACTATTCGTAGCAGGTGACATTAATGCCCAGATAGGTAGTTTAAACCAAACAAAGGCATTTAGGTGGGTATTTTAGTATCCCGGCACAACGAACAGATAATGGTGACCGTCTGCTGCAACTGTGCTCAATCGTTTATTTTTAGCAAACACAAATTTTAAGCATAAGGAGAGGCATCGTCTAACATGGCGACCCCCTACACCAAACCAACGATGAACTCAAATAGACGATATTGCCATCAGTCATCGTTGGAGAGGGTCGGTAGAAGATTGTCGCTCATTCTGGAGTACCTGCTTGGACTCCGACTACGCCCTAATACGGGCACGCATCTGCTTGCGCCTCACTGGACGCAAAAAAGCCACACTAAAAAGAGCCATTAGAACTGAATTGAGTAGCGAGAAAACCAAAAGTAGGATCCAGGAACAACTGAGGTCACAATTAGGTAGTTGTGAAAACGAGGTTGACCCAGATGTTGCTTGGAAAGCTATACAAACAGCTGTGGAAACAGCAGTGAAATCTATCAGTGATTTAAACCACAGGGTTACAAAGAACCAATGGATTTCCCCAAGGTCTATTGTACTGATGGGTTCTCGTAAACTCATCCCATCAGGCTCTGAACACGATGAAGAGCGAAAACAAATCAGATCTAGGTTAGGCAAAAGTCTAAGGAATGACCGTGAGCAGTGGTGGGCAACGAAAGCAAAAGAGATGGAAAAGGCGGCGACTATAGGGAACACGAGACAGCTCTACAGACTAATAAAGGAAACTGGAATTAATAAGTCAAGTGTAAGTCAGACAATTTCGGAAAAAGACGATACTCTCATCTGCTCCCAGTCCAGACGTTTAGAACGATGGGCGGAACATTTTAGGGAAAGGTTCAGCTGGCCTTCAGCTACTCTACAACTACCCTCCATTCCCAGACAGTGTGAATGGAACATTGAAGTAGGTCCCCCAACTCTAGCAGAAGTTCAAAAGGCTATAGCTAATCTGAAACGAGGAAGGGCAGCTGGTCCAGATGGATTGACTCCAGATAATTTTAAGGGTGGTAATCCAATTTTGACGATTAGGTTGACTAATATTTTAGCTAAGATCTGGGAGTTAGACGTTATTCCATCTGACTGGTCACAATCATTTATCGTCCCAATATATAAGACAGGGTTAAAATCATCCTGTGACAACCACAGAGGGATTAGTGTAACTAATATAGTATCTAAAATACTAGCCTCGATAATTATCAGACGCCTAACTAAGACTCGTGAACTGCAAACACGAGAGAACCAAGCTGGCTTTAAACCTGGTCGTGGCTCCATCGACCACATATTCACCATTCGTCAGGTTCTAGGACATAAGCATACTTATCGGCGCCCGACAATGGTGGTCTTTCTTGACTTAAAAGCAGCATTTGACTCGGCAGACCGCGAGATTCTGTGGCAGTGTGTCATTGAAAGGCTTACCTGAGAAGTACATAAACCTTGTGAAGGCTCTTTACTCGGACACTACTAGTCGAGTCAGAGCTTATGGCGAACTGTCATCTGCTTTTGCAACCTCAAGTGGTGTCCGTCAAGGCTGTCCCCTTTCTCCATTTTTGTTTAACTTCATCATAGACTTATTGATGGAAATAACATTCTCGTCTACTGAATTTTCGGGTATTGATCTCCTACCAGGAGGTCCACTTATCGACTTAGAATACGCAGATGATATAGTCCTGTTTGGTGAAGACGCTGATAAAATGCAGTCTTTTGGTAGCACTAAGCAACAATGCCAGAATGTTTGGAACGCGTTTCTCTCCCTCTAAATGCAAGTTGTTGCTTCAGGACTGGTCTGTGTCAACACCTGAACTAAGGATAGGGAGTGAAGTAGTCGAACGCCTTGACCCCAAACGCCCTATTTATGGCCGAGAGTGGGGTGGGTTCGCCCTCCCTCTCGAAATACTCTCACACGGCCGCGCGTATACAGCCTCTGCCTGGGAAGTCCTACTCACCGCTTTCTCGCACCACGGGTGTTGTTTACGAAAATGAGAGGACGAAAAGCAAATGTCCGGCGCTTTAACCGGATTCCAAATCAATGTTGCACATGGGTACCAGTATCCTAAAGGAACAAATGGCGTACGAACCAATTGTTGGTCACCGGCTACCATGGGACTGCATCTCCTTACGATGCTCCACTGCCTTGTGGGTTAGACCTTTAGGTCAAAGGCTCGGGGTGTGCCCCCCTAAGATAACCACCTGCTTCGGTCTGGGCACCCGGGCAGCATCACAGCCCACACGCAATTAATGAACTGAAATTATGTGGCGCATATATATTTGGCGCACTCCTGTACCAATATATATGTGTTCAAATAAAATAATAAAATAAATAAAACAACTTCATTTGGGTTGGTGTCTGACGAAATCTTAGCACGGATTCGAAAAGCTCGCTTGGCTTTTGCCAACTTGCGTCACCTATGGCGAAGGCGAGATATCCGTTTATAAATAAAAGGACGAGTAAACTGCGCGGCAGTCTGTTCTGTTCTACTTTACGGCAGCGAAACATGGCCTTTAAGAGTAGAAGACACTCGTAAGCTACTAGTATTTGACCACAGATGCCTTAGAAATATTGCTGGCGTCCGCTGGGATCACCGGGTAAGTAATAGCCAGATTAGACGCAGGGTATTAGGGAATGATGGTAAATCAGTTGATGAGGTTGTGAATCTTCATCTACTGAGATGGTTGGGCCACGTGTTACGTATGCCTGAACACCGATTACCACGACGTGCAACGCTAACCGGTATTGGAGATGGTTGGAAGAAAGTTAGGGGCGGCCAAACCAAAACGTGGCATCAGTGCTTGAAGTCACTAACTTCTAGTCTGAGCCATGTTGGTAGATGCAGACTACTTGGTTGGGGTCCGCGTGACTGTCGTAATCAATGGTTGGAGACTCTTGGTGACATGGCTCAGAATCGGTCACAATGGCGTCGGTGTATACACTCTCTGTCTTCCCTTAAACTAAGAGATTAAAATCACTTCATATCTTTCTTTCTACGAACCAATTCTTTCTTCTTGTACTATATCTCTATATGCAATCTTTCTCTTATATATTACCACATCTGAATTAGCTACTTTTATGAATCCGGTGTCCATCTTGTTGTGTGAATGAGGTATGGCAACCTGGACCGATGCATATATGCGCCTGGTCCTACGTTGTAGCTGACTGACTGACTGACTGATATACTGACATACAGGTCCTCTTGCCGAGTAGTCAGCTCCAGGAGGAGGTAGTGTCCGCACCTTCAGCTAACTTGCTTAAAACACCAGGACTATGTAAAAGCTTGCTCGAGAAGAACTCATATCAGTCTTCAGTCTTCAAAGTACAGGTCCGAAATATGGATCCGGGTGCACTAATATAGGCATCAAAAAGCCATCAGTTACACAAACATGTTCAACCACTATTTAATGACGGACCAAGAATTTATAAATTAATTTAACGTCCTACATGGACATTGCAATGGGTTTTTTATTAGAAGATAGTGTTAAAACAGATACATACCTTTATCTTTATGACTGGTACTGATTCGTGAACTCTTGGCAGAGAATAGTCCAAACCTCCTTGAAAGTCCTTCCATGTATGGTGATTGATCAACATTTGACGCGAAATGTTCTTCACCAATAACTTCTTCACGTACATCTAAAAGGTCCGCAGAGTCCATCAGAAATAGAGCACCATAAGAATCATTATTAGGTATTTCTGGATATATTTCCACATTATCAAGTGAGAAATCAGACTGGAGATCAACAGTGGAGTAACAGTTGGTAGAAAAGTCATTGTTAAGTTCGTTTTTTATTGAGGAATCATCGAAAAACGAATCAATCATTACTTTGGCAACACACTTAAAAACACCGCGGAAGATACGGTAGCATATTCAGTTTTCAGTTTCAGTTTTGAGTTGGGAAAGAACGGGAGTCCAAGTGGCCCGTGTTATTCTTGGAAATGGTAATCTTTCAGTTGAATCAACTTTTTTGAAAACATCGACAGAAGGAGATTAAATCATATGTTGGGGCAATTAATTCTATTAGTTAATTATTCGATAGTCAGCTGACAAGTAATTTGTTCTGGGCTTGTGAACGTTTTTATAGTGTCCTCGCAAATTTTCTGTCTTGGAAGACAAGAAAAGTGAGGACATATCAGATCCAAATCTGTCATTATTAATTTACAAACTGTGGTCAAATCGCCCCTGGTTCTTCTATTTGACAATGGAAATAGGTTTAGGTTAGCCAGTCAGAAATCATACGGGGGCCTTATTGTTTTAGGAATCAGCTTAGTTGAGGGTTTATGAATCTTTTTAACAGCTCACCATCTCTTTTTAGGTAGGGCTTAGCCTCTTGCATTCAGTACTTGTGTTTAGGACGAACAAATACTGTATTCAAAGTCAAAATAGTTTGATTTAGTGAATACACTTCAGAAGACGCATCCGTAACCTTAATTGTTTTGTTACTACCCACTGTCTGGATTAACGACGATCCCTGGTCTTTCTTTAACCCGAAGAATCTCAAGCAGTCGGACTTTGTCAATCTTGCGTCGGAACCATTATCCAAAAGAGTATAACTGATAACTTCAGTGTCTCCCGAACTTAATCGTACGGGAATCGTTCCCGAACAGACCTGACTGCTTAGGGACAGTAAATCCACAATAATTCTCTGTACCAGATTTATCATACGAGCTAATGACTGGTGAGTCACTATGAAACAGTTGGTGATACCTCTTTACACATCTATCAACGCTACATCACCTTATCAATCTGAGTTCACCAGATCTATGTCCTTGCCTAAGACAAACAGGGCGAATACTCATGGTCTTTGAGTGGGGCCACCAGTCTTCAACTGTTAGCGCTAAAAAACGTGGGCATTTATAAATAATGTGGTCATCAGAACAGATGCTGCATTTAGTTTTTACGTCCGAACTATTCCACTGTCCAGACTGCAAGTGACAATTCATCATCACGTTATGTCCAACTTTTTGAATCTACTACTAGCGACTCTGGCACGAGACGCTGTAAATTTGGTAAGCTCGACAAATGTTGGCTCTCTATCGTCTCCTCTTAGTCTACCCACCAAGTCTGAACACTCTACTTACATTGGTTGAGGCAGAAGGCTCACCATTCGTTTTGAAGTCACTAAAGTGTTTAGAGCAACAGTAAAATTCATTTGTTCTAAAACCATAGTACAATTTTCCATTTTTATAGCCTGTTTTGATAACTGTTGAGCGTCACTACAACCTAAATTCACAGCATTAAACAAGCTTTCTATGGTTTTTCGAGCAAATACATATGACTGTCTAGCTTTCTTATAACCAGCAGGGGCGTTCATCATGACGCATCCCTCGATAGGCTGTTTTCATCTTTCCCTTGCAATAATGTATCAAGTAAAGCAAACCCTGACTACCATCAATGACTCTTGACGCTACATATGTCTCAAAGTGACGTAAAAACTTTCAGTACCCCCTTGGCTGTATATCGAAGTAGTTCAAATCTGCCTTAGGGAGTTCATGACCTGCAACAACCGGCGCAAGTGGTTTCATACTCTCCTCTAATATTTCGGGTTTCTGCTTCTCGTCTAAACATAGATCTTTTGCGTCATCACATCAGAACTAGCATCACTATCATAATAATTACTCTTATTTAAGACTGAAATATAACACATAAGAGTATCAAAGGGCACTTTATTTGTCAAAGGGGATTCTTCATGTAATTTGGCTTCATTGACACTAACCATCTTCGATCTTGACTTTTTATGACGTATGCTTGGCATCACGAACGACGGACCAAAATATCCCAAGAAACGATACTTGAAATTTTAGGAGTGACCGCGATAGTTATAGCCAAACGACTTCGTTCAGTCAGCAGATATCTGTTTAGGTCCGTAGATTCCCAACTGAGTTTGGAATCTACACCGTGTTACACGATCTTCAGACGGTTACAAAAATAGATAATGGGTTAGAGAGCTATGCAGTGATGTATACTACTATGTTATAGCATAAGGGTCTCCAAGTAAGCCATAGGCATTTAGGAAAGTATAATAGCAACTATGTACCTGTCGAATTAGGCGGAAAGTGTTGGAATATATTATTTATAAACCAGACAACGGATAAGGAAATAAAATTAATGATCAATCAACAAAATTTTTTTGAAAGCAGTAAGCTAATGAAAAATAGTTAAGAAAGAATTCTCATTATTCTGTTGTTGTTAGTGTTCTGTGTTAATCAAACCAGGTGATAATTTTCAGGCTCAAAAAAGGCAAGACCATTAGTAGTTGAGTAGCAAATTATGGGGTTTACGCGATGATTCATCAGGATCATAGTGTGCGTAGAGAGAAAGTAAGAGTGGATTCGAAGTGCTGCACCTGAAGGCTAGTACTTAGCAGAGTACCTGGAGGTTCTGTCCTAGATCTTTTACTTTTTATATTGTATGTAAGTGATCTCTCAGGTATGGTTGAGTCCTCAATGTTATTGTACGCTAACGATGTAAAAATCTGGGGAGAAATAACAGGAGACGCAGATTCATGTGTACTTCGGGCAGACTTAAATATTGTGATTAACTGGTCTAAGGAGTGGTTGATGCCTATGAATGCGGCAAAGTGTATCTACACGAACTGTGGAGATACAAAAGTAAGTAGGTACAGCATAGAGGAAGTGCCTATACTCGTGGTCCGGTCTCATAAGGAGCTTGGGGTGACAGTGAGTCATGATCTTAAGACCACGGCCCATTGCCGGGAGGTCTTAGCTAAGGGGTTGAGAAAACTATGGGCTTTAAGACGGACATTAGCCAAGTTAGATACTATCATGTTCACTACATTAAATACAACTTTAGTGAGAACTAAGCTTGAGAACTGCGTTCAGGATTCAAGCCCCTGTTCAGAAGGTGACTCGGATATCTTGAAAAAAACATGGAGAGGAGCTACCCGTGAAATTTTAGAACTCCGGGGTTTACCATACAAAGAGCGGCCTGCGAAGCTAGACCTCTTTGCTCTGTCCTATCGCAGATTAGGGTGTGATCCGATTTTGATGTATAGAATACTGATTATGTCACAGGTATTCAGTGTTTGACAACGCTTCTACCAGTAACACCTTCTAATGTATTTCGTTCCCACCCAGAGAAATCAAAATACAGAGTGGAGGAGGTCGGAAGAGTATATTTGGCGATGACCAATATATCGGAATTCTCTGATCTAATCTGGCTAGCGATTGCAGTTGATGTTGAGCACGGCGTTACCACACGTGATCTGGTGCGGATGCCTGACCGAGGGCCTTCAGCTAGATGAGTCCACTAAAACATATGGTCAGCATCCAATGTCGAAAACTTACAGAGCTATTTAGTTTGGGGATTTATTTACCGCTACAGATCACTCCCCCCCTAGTGGGGCAGTGATGACCCTAAGACGTGGCCAGCCAGAAGTTTAAACCCAACGAGTTTGTCGTTGGTAAACACTCTTCTGATAGCTTACTAAATTTAGCAGCGTCTGGTCGTCTTTCCTTACTATATGGGACGGAGGTACAACATAGTAAAAAAAGAAAATGTACAATGAAAATTTCGGATCCTCATAAACGTCATCGGTCTTTTCCAGCCGTCCTGGAAAAGAAAAAAGAAAATGTAAGTGCATGTCGAAATCCACTCGTATGTGCGTAAAAACACAATGTCGGCGGAAAAAAAATGGAAAATAAACTCATGAACACGTAATAGAGTTAAAAAATTTGTTTTTTTTAAAAAAAATAATATAAAATGTCGAGAAGTGCCTTACGTTCAATAGTCGTTTAAATATTCTGGAAATCTCACCCTTCTTCCAGAACGCGTCGTTTTAAGTTTATTTTCGGATACTGTCGAAGTATCATCGTGTTTGTTGGTTGTCGGATGAGGTATTATAAGTGTCGGAGTCGTGTCGTTCGATTGTACCGAAGGAAAATCCACGTAGATAGGATTTCCTTCTAAATACGCTGCTTTTAAGCGATCGATGCTGATGCTATCGTTGGTTCCGTTCTTATCGACTATATAGTACTTAGATTCACGTTGAAGAACTTTGAAGGGTCCTTCGTATGCTGATTCGAATGGTCGCCGATGCGAGTCTCGACGAACGAAAACGTGTGTACTATATCGTAAGTCAGGTTGAACGAAAACATCAGTTGATTGAGGTCGAGTGGAAGCAGGTTTAACTGAACGCATTGCGTTTGTAAGCCTGTTCGTGTAGGAGGTTAGATCCATGTTCATTGAAGAGGATGAAGGATCCACGAATTCTCCTGGAAGTCGAAGTGTCGTTCCATAAACGAGTTGAGCCGCAGTGTATCCAATGTCAGCTTTCACTGCATTGCGGATACCTAGTAAGACAAGTGAAAGAGCGTCGGTTCACTGTGAAACGTTTGAAGCTGATAGTGAAGCTTTTATTTGTCGGTGAAAACGTTCTACCAACCCGTTTGCTTGTGGATGGTAGGCGGTCGTTCGGAATCGAGTGATTCCTAGAAGTGTGGTCAGACGACGGAAAAGATCAGATTCAAACTGACGTCCGCGGTCTGTAGTGATGGTTGAAGGGCAGCCGAAGTTTGCTACCCATCGTTCGACGAAGGCGCGAGCCACTGTTTCAGCAGTGATGTCCTTAATAGGTACTGCTTCTGGCCATCGGGTGAAACGGTCTACGCAGGTTAAGAGGTAAGAGTATCCATTTGAATCTGGCAAAGGTCCTACCAAATCCAGATGAACATGGTTGAAACGAGCATCGGGAGTTCTAAATGAGCCTAAGGGACATTTATTGTGTCTGATAACCTTAGATTTTTGGCATCTTACACAGGAGCGTGCCCACTCCCTCACGTCTTTATTCATGTCAGGCCAGCAAAACCGTTCTGCTATAAGCTTAATGGTTGCACGGACACCT